GCCTTGGGGGACCCCTAAAGAAAGAGGGAGGGGAGAGGAGGAGGGCTTTTTAAGTATGGGGATGATCAGTTCATGCTGTATTATTCCACAGACCACTGGATGGCACTGCACTGTTCAACTATGCCAAGATATGATCGCTTTGTGCACTTCAATAAAAGTTACAAAAAGGGGGGACCCTGATTTGGACCCTGATGTAAAGGAGGGTTTCTAAAGAGGACTCTGATGTAAGGGTGGACCCTGATGTAAAGGGGGACTCTAATGAGGACTCTTATGTAAGGGGGACTCTGATGGGGATCCTGATGCTGTTTGATGCTTACGGTCCTGTTTACCTGTAAAGGGGGGGCTCTGATGGGGACACTGAGGTAAGGGGGGACTCTGATGTAAAGGGGGACTCTAATGGGGACCCTGATAAAAGGGGGAACTTTGATCTGGACTCTGATAGGAAATTGTTTGACCTGCAGACATTTATAAAGCACACAATAAACATGTGCATGCTAGAAATTTTGAATCTCATTTCAGGAGCATTCGTTCATTGCAGAATTTTATTTAATCATATTCGTTATGTTGACCAAATTCGTTTTCGGGATTCCTTTTGTAATTGTTGGTCCAGAGGGATTTGATATTTTTGGACGCTAGTCCAACGGACCAAGAGAAATGGTATTATTATTATTATACAGGATTTATATAGCGCCAACAGTTTGCTCAGCGCTTTACAATATAACGGGAGACAATACAGCAACAATACAATTCAATACAAGAGGGATAGGAGGGCCCTGCTCCTTGGAGCTTACAATCTAAAGGAAGGGGGAGGTGATACAAAAGGTGATAGTGCTGTGGGGGGTGATCTGGCGGAGGTGATTCAAGTACAGTTCTTAGGTGGAGGTGGGGTAGGCTTCCCTGAATAAGTGAGTTTTCAAAGATCGCCTAAAGGCAGACAGGGTGGGGGCTGACCAGACATTCTGTGGTAAGGAGTTCCAGAGGATGTTAGAGGCTCTGGAGAAGTCCTGGAGGCGAGCGTGGGAGGAGGTGATGAGGGAGCTAGAGAGGAGGATATCAGGGGAGGAGCGGAGTGGGTGATTTGGGCGGTATCTGTGGATGAGGTTGGCGATGTAGCTAGGGGCAGTGTTGTGGATGGCTTTGTAAGCTGTGGTTAGTATTTTGAATTTTATACATTGGGTTAGTGGAAGCCAGTGAAGGGATTGGCAGAGAGGGGCAGCAGTCGCTGATCGGTTGGTAAGGTGTATGAGTCTAGCAGCATTCATAATAGACTGAAGGGGGGATAGCCTGTGTAACGGTAGACCAGTGAGGAGGAAGTTGCAGTAATCAAGGGGGGATATAACCAAGGCGTGGATAATTTGTTTTGTGGTGTCATTAGTCAGGAAGGGGCGGATTATGGAAATGTTCCGGAGGTTGACGTGGCAGGATTTAGCCAGTGAGTGGATGTGGGGCCCAAAGGAGAGGTCAGAGTCTAGGATTACACCTAGTACCCAGACATGAGGGGAAGAACCAATGGTTGTGCTGTTGATCTTAATGGTAAAGTCGTGAGTGGGGGATCGGGGAGGAGGAAATATTACAAGCTCAGTTTTTGAAAGATTGACTTTAAGGTAGGGATGTGACGCCCATGCTAATATGTCACTTAGTAGATTTGTGATACGTGAGGAGATTGAGGGGGTGAGTTGGGGAAGTAGAGAGATAGATCTGGGTGTCATCAGCATAGAGATGGTATTGGAAGCCATGGGAGGCTATCAGTTGGCCCAGGGAGGAGGTGTAGAGAGAGAAAAGGAGAGGCCCAAGGACAGAACCTTGGGGTACCCCAACAGAAAGAGGAGAGAGGAGCGGAGGAAGAGGAGTTGTATGTCACACTGAAAGTGCGCTGAGAAAGGTAAGAGGAGAATCAGGAGAGAGCGGAGTCACAGAGGCCGATGGAGTGGAATTTACTGAGGAGGAGCAGGTGGTCATCTGTGTCAAAGGCAGCGGAAAGGTCAAGGAGTATGAGTATGGAGTAATGGCCATTGGTTTTAGCAGTCAGTAGGTCGTTAGTGAGTTTTAGTAGGATAGTTTCTGTGGAGTGTTGTGGACGGAAGCCAGACTGTCGGGAATCAAGAAGGTTGTTGTTGGTGAGGTAGCAGTTCATACAGTTGTGAACAAGGCGCTCGAGAAGCTTGGGGGCAAACAGGAGCAGGGAGATGGGTCTTAAATTTTTAAAACAGGTGTGGTCCAGTGAGGGTTTTTGGGTATGGGGGTAACCAGTGCATGTTTGAGCAGGGAAGGAAAGGTGCCCATGGAGAGTGAGAGGTTGAAGATGTGGGTTAGAGAGTTTAGGATAGAGCAGGAAGGTGGCTGCAACAGTCGTGAGAGGACAGGGTCTAGGGGACAGGTGGTGAAGTGGGCCTTGGAAAGGAGTTTGGTAACTTCATCGGTGGTAACAGGGTCAAAGGAGGAGAGTGTAGAGTTTGGTGTTAGGCCTGGTATGTTGGTTGGAGGAGAAAGCTTGACAATGGAGATCTCATCACGAATTGTGTTGATCTTGTTCTTGAAATGACTGGCAATCTCCTGTGCAGTAAATAAGTTGGTAGGTGGAGGCAGTGGGGGGTGGAGTAAGGAATTAAGGGTAGAAAAGAGTTGACGAGGATTGGATGAGAGAGTCAGCATGAGCTGATTGGACAATATCGACTTGCATCATGTGTATCTGAATTAACAAATGGAACAAAATTCGTATCTATTCATTACCTGAATCTGAATTATCAAGTAAATTCAAAAATTTTATTCATTTTCCCCATGGGCCCAAACTACTATTACATCATGTGACCTCACTTGAATGAAAGAATGCATACGTTTATTGTGTTAAAACTTTTTTTTGATTCGGCAACATTCGTTAATATGTCCATTCAGAAATTTTTGTCCAAAAAACAAATTGAAAGGAAAGGAAATGCACACGTCTAACATACAATATGTCCCTAATACTGAAACGTATGGAGACCTCAAATGTAGTAGTTTTGGCACCCATGTACAAGAGTCTTTAACATGCATTATGGTGTTGATGGGGGACTGAAAGAAGTGACCCCAATGGGAGTTTTCCCCCATCTCCTGGTTCAGAACAGAGGTTACATTTTGGATTACAATGACAATGTCACAGAGAATGAGTCCTCCCATCATATACAGGACTAGGTGGAGAAGGCCCTAGTGTGAGGTCCATGTACTGGGAGAAGGTCCCCGTATCAGGATAAGGTCCCCGTATCAGGAGAAGGTCCCCGTATCAGCAGAAGGTCCCCGTATCAGCAGAAGGTCCCTGTATCAGCAGAAGGTTCATGTATCAGGAGAAGGTTCATGTATCAGGAGAAGGTTCATGTATCAGGAGAAGGTTCAGGTATCAGGAGAAGGTCCAGGTATTAGGAAAAGGTTCATGTGTTAGGAAAAGGCCCATGTGTTAGGCGAAGGTTCCTGTATCAGGAGAAGGTCCCTGTATTAGGAGAAGGTTCATGTATCAGGAGAAGGTCCCTGTGTTAGGAGAAGGTTCATGTATTAGAAGGTCCCTGTATCAGGAGAAGGTTCTTGTATTAGGAGAAGGTCCCTGTATTAGGAGAAGGTTCATGTATTAGGAGAAGGTCCCTGTGTTAGAAGAAGGTCTATGTATTATGAGAAGGTCCCTGCATTAAGATGAGGTCCCTGTAGTAGGAGAAGGTTGGTGTATTAGGAGAAGTTCCTGTATTAGGAGAAGGTTCATGTATGAGGAGGAGGTCCATCTATTAGGAGAAGGTCCATGTATTAGGAGAAGGTCCATGCGTTAGGAGAAGGTTCCTGTGCTAGGGGAAGGTCCCTGTAGCAGGAGAAGGTTGGTGTATTAAGAGAAGGTTCATGTATGAGGAGAAGGTTCATGTGTTAGGAGATTGTCCCTGTGTTAGGAGAAGGTCCCTGTTTTAGGTGAAGGTCCCTGTAGTAGGAGAAGGTCCATGTATTGGGAGAAGGTCCCTGTAGTAAGAGAAGGTTGGTGTGTTAGGAGAAGTTCCTGTATTAGGAGAAGGTTCATGTATGAGGAGGAGGTCCATCTATTAGGAGAAGGTCCATGTATAGGAGAAGGTCCATGTATTAGGAGAAGGTCCATGTGTTAGGAGAAAGTCCCTGTGTTAGGGGAAGGTCCCTGTGCTAGGGGAAGGTCCCTGTAGTAGGAGAAGGTTGGTGTATTAAGAGAAGGTTCATGTATGAGGAGGAGGTTCATGTATGAGGAGGAGGTTCATCTATTAGGAGAAGGTTCATGTTTAAGGAGAAGGTCCCTGTGTTAGGAGAAGGTCCCTGTGTTAGGGGAAGGTCCCTGTGCTAGGGGAAGGTCCCTGTAGTAGGAGGTTGGTGTATTAAGAGAAGGTTGATGTATGAGGAGGAGGTTCCTATTAGGAGAAGGTTCATGTTTAAGGAGAAGGTCCCTGTGTTAGGAGAAGGTCCCTGTGTTAGGGGAAGGTCCCTGTGCTAGGGGAAGGTCCCTGTAGTAGAAGGTTGGTGTATTAAGAGAAGGTTCATGTATGAGGAGGAGGTTCCATCTATTAGGAGAAGGATGTTGTTTAAGGAAGGAAGGAGAAGGTCCCTGTGTTAGGAGAAGGTCCCTGTGTTAGGGGAAGGTCCCTGTGCTAGGGGAAGGTCCCTGTAGTAGGAGGTTGGTGTATTAAGAGAAGGTTGATGTATGAGGAGGAGGTTCATCTATTAGGAGAAGGTTCTTGTTTAAAAGAAGGTCCATGTGTTAGGAGAAGGTCCACAGATGGAGGGTCGCCAGTTTGACACCTGTGTTAGAAGGTCCCTGTATTAGGAGTAGGTCCCTGTATTAGGAGTAGGTCCCTGGACTGTCCCGGGCACTACACCTGTCCGCAGGCGCCGTACACAGAGAGAGGCTGTGCCGGGCTCCCTCCTCCTCCTCCCCGGGCTCCTCCCCGCTCCCTTATCCCGGCTCTGGGGGAAGTTTGTAAGCAGTCCGGAGCTCCTTTCCCCTGGCTCTCCTCTCTTCTAAGGCTCCAATGGCAGAGAACGAGTTAGCAAAGAAGCTCCAGCGGCGTCTAGTGCTGGAAGACGCAGAGCCCCGGGAGGAGCCCGGAGAAGTCCCGGAAACTGGGGAGGACAAGCCGGCCACCGCCAGTGCCGACTCCGAGCTGAGTGCCAAGCTGAACCGGAGGAATGACATCAATGCTGGCAACCCGGTGCCAGCTAACCGGACCCACATCTTCAGCCCGTACACCGAGTTCCAGGAGTTCTCCCGAAAGCAGATCAAGGACATGGAGGTCATGTTCAAACAGTGAGTGCCAGCCGGGGGGCAGGACGGGTTGCATGGGGTACCCGGGCTACTGGGGAGACTTATTATATACATGGAGCACCGGGGGGTTCTTATCAAATACATAGGGCACCGAGCTACTGGGAAGGGGGGCCTTATATGCATGGGACACCTGGGCTACTTGGGGAGGGGGGTCATATCATATACATGGGGCACCTGGGCTACCTGGGGAGGGGGGGTCATATATACATGGGGCACCTGGGCTACCTGGGGAGGGGGGGTCATATATACATGGGGCACCTGGGCTACCTGGGGAGGGGGGGTCATATATACATGGGGCACCTGGGCTACTTGGGGAGGGGGGGTCATATATACATGGGGCACCTGGGCTACTTGGGGAGGGGGGGTCATATCATACGCATGGGGCACCTGGGCTACTTGGGGAGGGGGGTTCATATCATACGCATGGGGCACCTGGGCTACTTGGGGAGGGGGGGTCATATATACGCATGGGGCACTGGGGGGCTACTTGGGGAGGGGGGGGGGTCTTACCATACGCATGGGGCGCCTGGGCTACTCGGGGGGGGGGGGGGGGTCTTACCATACGCATGGGGCGCCTGGGCTACTCGGGGGAGGGGGGGGGTCTTACCATACGCATGGGGCGCCTGGGCTACTCGGGGGAGGGGGGGGTCTTACCATACGCATGGGGCGCCTGGGCTACTCGGGGGAGGGGGGGGTCTTACCATACGCATGGGGCGCCTGGGCTACTCGGGGGGAGGGGGGGTCTTACCATACGCATGGGGCGCCCTACTCGGGGAAGGGGGGGGTCTACTCGGGGAACGTCGGGGGGGGGGGGGTCTTACCATACGCATTGGGGCGCCTGGGCTACTCGGGGGGGGGGGGGGGCGCCTGGGGGGGCTACTCGGGGGGGGGGGGGGGGTCTTACCATACGCATGGGGCGCCTGGGCTACTCGGGGGGGGGGGGGGGGTCTTACCATACTCATGGGGTGCCTGGGCTACTCGGGGAAGGGGGGGTCTTGCCATACGCATGGGGCACCTGGGCTACTGGGGGAGGGGGGGGTCTTACCATACGCATGGGGCGCCTGGGCTACTCGGGGGGGCTTATCATACGCATGGGGCACTCAAACTGCCTGGGGGGATAGGGCACCTTCCTGATCACTACACCCAGCATATACAGAAATGATGGGGCACCCAGACTGGGGGAACAGGGCAAAGAAGTGAATATGCCTGTGTTTTTTTTTTTAAATGAAGCACACCAACACATGGGAAAGGTCATTAGGTGTAATATGCACCCATGCTGGAGTGCCATTTAGAATGGCTGCACAGCTACAGGAAATAATGCACATTTTTATGCTCAGCGGGAACACAAATGACATTGTGGACATTCTCACAGCGCACAGATATGAACAGAGCCTTCGCACTTACGTGGGGCACAGATGGTAGCTGGCTCTAAAACTGAGTGAACCCGAGAAGCAGGGCATGGCATACATGGGGCGCCTAGACTACTTGGGAGTACAGGGCACATGTCATGTCAGTGGGCTTGTCCTATATACACGGGGCATACATAATAGCTGAAATGTATGGGAAACCTATCAGAGGGGCATGGCATACTGCATGGGGCAAGTAGGATGTACAGTGCACTTGTCTGGTCATTGGTATTATCACATACATGGGGCACAGATGGTAGCCGGCTCTGACATGAGCGGGACCTGAGAAGTAAGGCATGACATACATGGGGCACCTAGACTGCCTGGGTCTACAGCATTTAGGGCACAGATGGCAACTCAAATGCTTGGGGACTCTGGTAGAGGGGTATAAAATACATGGGGCACCTAGACTGCCTCGGTCTACAGTATTTAGGGCACAGATGGCAACTCAAATGCTTGGGGACCCTGGTAGAGGGGTATGACATACATGGGGCACCAAGACTGCTTGGATCTACAGCATTTAGGGCACAGATGGCAACTTAAATTCTTGGGGACCCTGGTAGAGGGGTATGACATACATGGGGCACCTAGACTAGGGTGTACAGGTTGCCCACACTGCTGCTGGGACTGCCATCAAAGTGAACCTGTTGCTTTGGCCCTCATGATTAAAGCACAGGTTCTCTTTAAAGTAAATATGTACTTTTAATTTAATGTTGTATTGAAATAAAACTTCAAAGACAAAACACCTTTTCACTTTAATAAACATGAGTCAATATTGTGTGACCTATAAATCCTGTATATAACGGAAGAAGTGATTACGGGTATTTCTTCCTCACATCTGCAACCTTTTCTGTATACAAACTCTGCAGATGTGTTGAGCTTGCAGGTCAGCACTTGTCTGCATATCTCAGACAGAAATGTGATGTATGTGATCCATTATTGGTAGCCAGGGGGGTCTTCAGGATCCATCGGTAGACTATCTGGAGGTCAGTCCTGTGCTGCAAGATCTCCTAAAAATGGGTTCAGTTCTCCCCCTTCAGAATGTGTGTTATTCTCTGACTACTGTACCAATGGATCTGTCAGATCTGCACTTTCATTCCTTATCCGGGGTGAGCGTGGATTTCATCACTGTCCCCGCTGGCTGATTCAGTTCCTCTCTCCACCCCTCCTAACTTATGATTCACTCTGTGCTGTTTCCTGTAACTCACCTTCTGTACTGCCATCCCCATTGCACCACTTACATACTAGACAGAGCAATCACATTCCTTTACTACAAATGGATGTAATATGGGTGATGGCAGACTTTATCTGTGAGATAAGTAGAAGAAATGTGCAAAGCTTTTTTTTTTTTTCCCTTTAGTAAAGGTAAATTGGTCTGTTTTAGCCCACTGAACGTTTATAAAACATCACCACATGTTATGAAGCAGATGTCAAGGTGGCATGGATTTTTGGTAACTTGGCTGTTTACAAGTGTGGACAAAGGGGTAGGCAGAAGAGGCAAATGCTTTGGCCCTTTCAGCAGGAGTGGGGTGAAATGGGCAGGAACTGCAACTCATACTGCAGAAGTAATTCACATTTCTTGTAGTGGGGGGTGCATGTTGGCCTTTTTACCTTGGGTGCCATAGGACCTTTGTCCCTACATTGCCTGCATGTGACATCTGATAAACTTTTTGGTTTAGTATGAGCTATTTTGCCAAGTCACCTCCTTGTTACATTTGTAGTTCACACTTTCTCAACCAGGGTTTCCCCAGGGGTTTCTAAGGGTTCCCTGAGAAGAGAGCCCTGGTAGATTGATTTCCTGCCTACACTGACCGTCAGTGTAAGGTTGATCTCCTTCCTGCAATTGCCACCAACGTAAGGGGTCGCTTCTGCACCGTCCACCGCCGTAAGGGGTCGCTTCTGCACCGTCCACCGCCGTAAGGGGTCGCTTCTGCACCGTCCACCGCCGTAAGGGGTCGCTTCTGCACCTCCACCGCGTAAGGGGTCCTTCTGCACCGTCCACCGCCGTAAGGGGTCGCTTCTGCACCGTCCACCGCCGTAAGGGGGTCGCTTCTGCACCGTCCACCGCCGTAAGGGGTCGCTTCTGCACCGTCCACCGCCGTAAGGGGTCGCTTCTGCACCGTCCACCGCCGTAAGGGGTCGCTTCTGCACCGTCCACCGCCGTAAGGGGTCGCTTCTGCACCGTCCACCGCCGTAAGGGGTCGCTTCTGCACCGTCCACCGCCGTAAGGGGTCGCTTCTGCACCGTCCACCGCCGTAAGGGGTCGCTTCTGCACCGACCACCGCCGTAAGGGGTCGCTTCTGCACCGACCACCACCGTAAGGGGTCGCTTCTGCACCGACCACCACCGTAAGGGGTCGCTTCTGCACCGACCACCACCGTAAGGGGTCGCTTCTGCACCGACCACCACCGTAAGGGGTCGCTTCTGCACCGACCACCACCGTAAGGGGTCGCTTCTGCACCGACCACCACCGTAAGGGGTCGCTTCTGCACCGACCACCACCGTAAGGGGTCGCTTCTGCACCGACCACCACCGTACAGTAACAGATTTCATCTACACTGGCCACCAATGTACGGGGCTGGCCTCTACCCTGGCCACCAATGTACGGGGGTCGCTACAAGTTTCACTGTCTGTAATTCTTTTCTGGCCATTATTTTTTTTAATTTCATGATTGTTAGGTAAATTCCATGTACCATCAACTGTAGGCCTAATAATTTTAAAGAAGTTTTCAGAGACCTGAAAACTATGTGAAGGGTTCCTCCATGGTAGAAAGGTGGAGAAAGGCTGGTCTTGTCTGTGTGCAGAGTACTTTGTGTTGGGACATATAGTGGACGTGTAGTGTGTGTGTGTGATGAGGCAGCGCTCTGTCTGCCTGTGTATTGGGCTGGGTGTGTGTGTGTTAAAGCTGCCAAGGCTTGTCTCTAGAGTAGCTTTGTAATGACCATTCATCAGTGTGCTTGGCACTGCTGTAGCTTTATTTTTCTGCATGTGACCTCCGCCCTGAAATGCTGGCGAGCCTAGTTCGGGGACTGCTTGCCATACTTCCGAGGCTTGACATGCAGCTGTGCAAGTGTCACTGACAATCGTAGCACTGTGTGGCTGAAGTGCTGCCGCTGGGGTCCTGAGCAGCTGCTTTCACTGTCTGCTTCTCAGATTCCCTCCCTGATCTCATGTATTCACAGTGAACTTCTCATTCCTGTCTCCAGTTTTCTATTTTTTCTAAGTTATCCTGTGAGATGTTTGCCTTTTTTTTTTTTTCTTCTTAGAGCCCATTCACACCAGTAGGCGATGTTGCAAGATGCATGCCAACTGGCATGTGTTGTGTAGGGTGGTGTAATGCATCACATTGTTTTGTTTTCTTTTTTAATCCACTTTATTGAAATGTCATTTAACGCTGTGCACCATAACATGTCATCGCAACTAGCTGCCTACAAATATAACCTTAAACTCAGGCAAGCAGCTAAGTATAGAAAGCTTAAAGAACATAATCATTTTATTTTGTTCACTCTGCAGAGTACATAGTACTGTGTACACAAGTATCTGCTCCAGCAGGAGCTTACAGTCCAAATGTACCCACAAACAAGTGATGATGGTGACCTGATCCTTTTTTATGATTGCTGTGGTTAAACAGGTTAGAACACCTTGTCTGATTACCAGGGGCGGACTGACCATTTGGAAACTCGGGCACTGCCCAAGGGCCCGGGGTCAGTAGGGGGCCCCCTGAGATGCCCCTGGTACCTTTTTTCATAGGCTTTTTTGAGTTTGGGCAAAGGCACAGGGGCCCCATGATCCCCTATTGCCCGGAGGCCCCATGAGTTGTCAGTCCGCCCCTGCTGATTACTATTGTCTTTCTTGATGAACCATGGCTTGTGATGCCTATAAATCAGAGATAATTGCTCATATTTAGAACTCCTCTAACCTATTAAATAACAGATAAGAACCGCACCTCTGGAACTCGAAAAAATATAAATAATGAATATGTTTAAGGAGAGCCACTATCACCCCAAACAGGGAAACCAACCAAAACAATAAATATCAAGACAGCACCCCCCCCCCCCCCCCCCCCCCAAAAAAAAAAAAAATCTCTTGCAATACAAAAGTGCTGAAAAAAACTATAAGAAACTTGAAATAAATAAGTGTGGGAAAGTGTCCAAAACTACAATGTGTGGAAAACTATTAAAAAACATGGCATATTAATAATCAATATATCTTAAAGTGATTTAACAACATCAAAAATATAAAAATGAAAATTAATTACATAGGTGTAGGAAAGTGTTTAAAAGAAAAAAGTAAAAAAGCAATAAATTTATGAAACAATACATGAACCTATGGAGAGAAATGTATTAAACCCAACCAGGGCAAACAACCAAGGAAATTTTTAGCACTCTACCCAAAAAAATCTCTAATAATGCAAAAGTGCTAAAAAAAAATGTAAAAAAGTGTTCAAAACTGAAATGTGTGGAAAACTGTTCAAAAACATAACAAACTAATATCTTAAAATAATTAACATCAAACCATAAACAAAAGTGGCAAAAAATATATGCGAGAAAGTGTACAAAAGAAAAAAAGTCAATAAATTGGTGAGACAATAGGTGAAACAATGGTGAGGTGCTCCAGTCTTCAAAATTCTTTATCTTGTATGATGGTAACCAAAGTGAAAATCCAACACCAAATAGATTGAATCCACTCACTACACCAGCTATAATGGCTTGTTCCCTGGGAGCAATACTCTGTGGCAACGGACTTCAGATGATGGAAAACCTCTCAATGACAATTAAGTCATCATATATTCAGAGTAGGACATGTAGGAGAAAGAAGAAGGAATCCACAGTCGACACTAGCATTTCACACGTCAAACATCAATGGAAAATGAAACAAACAGGTCTATGTATACTCAGACCTCTCCCTCGTGTGTGGTGACGTCACTACCAAGGCCCCGCCCTACGCGTCTCGTCATACGACATCCTAAGGAGCGGAAGGACGTTCGACACCACTGACTAGCTTTTTATACCCTGCATGATTTCTCATGAGAAATCATGCAGGGTATAAAAAGCTAGTAACATTTTAGATTTCCCATCACTTTTTGTCTTGGTGACTTTGGTCAACATCAGGGGCTAACTCTTTCCCCTTTCTAATAATAAAGCCAACTCCAGCCAAAACTGTTTCAAATTTTTTGCATAGTTTCTAGTGTGTGAAGAAGGTTTAAAGCCCTACTCAAGATTTTAAGACGTCTTAATGGGGACAGCATGTTTCTTCTTTCTATCCAAAATTAAAAAAGTTTTGGCAAGAGCTGGGCCTTGTTTGCCCTGGCACTCCTCTGTTTAGCCTTTCAAAACACAGGGAAAGAATAAACAACTTTTATGCCTCCCAGATCACTTTTTTCTGCGTTCAGATGTTCCTGCTTTGGACCCCTTTCAGACGGGGCGGACTCCGTCAAGCGGATCCGCCTGCTCAACTGGGGATCTCTCTGCGGATCCTCGCTGAGCATGCGGATGACAGGTCTGTGTCTGCTCTGCTATGCAGAACAGACACGGCCCGCTATTCTCTATGGGGCAGTCAGATGGAAACGAACTGCCTATCTGGTTTCCATCTGACTGTCATCTGATTTTCCGTCTGTTTTTAGCGTACAGGATCAGATTGGATGCCAGTGGGTGTCAGTGGACACATGTCTGCGGACACCCGCTGCTCCATAGAGAGCTATGGATGGTCTGATCAGGTCCGCCTGAAAAACTGACAGGCGAACCTGATTGGACCATCAGTTTGAAAGGATCTAAAGGTTTCCTGTACACAGGGCCGTTTTTGAAGCTACTGCTAGGGGTGTCAGGCGGTCTTTTTTTTTTTTTTTGTCTGTTTTTACACTGCCTCTAAACTCCCCTGCTTGTTATCCTGTGTGTCAATGCACACATAATAGGCTTTTAGCAATGTCCTGGAGTGGCAGTGTTTTGGCTGAAAAAACGCTTCACGTGCTCAAACGCATGTAGAGGTGCCTGAACACTAGACGCATTCGGGGCTTGAGTGTTAATTCATTTCAATCATCAGATTTAATAATTTATTCTGGTCAATGAAATTAATGTCCAAATGTTTGACGCAGGTAAATGTGGTACACACTTTTACAAGTGTCAGGCTTTTTTTTGCCCAAAACACTGTTGGCTTCTGGGGGAGGTAAAATGAAATGTCAGTGGGCATGAGACACAAAAAAATGAAAAGGTGATCCCTTTTCATCCCCCTAACCCCTATCTCTGCCATCCACTGCATTTACCTCTGTGGATGATTAGCTTTCATGGCCCACTCTGCCAATTCAGTGATCTGGGGATTTGAAAGATGCTCTTTTCTATCCTTTCTTTCCTTAGGGATGCTGGGACAGATCAAAGCAATTCAGATTAGTCAAAGTGGTCACATGCCAGTGCTTACCAATTAGAATCATTCTGAGCTGTCCCGGCTTCTCTAAGGAAAGGGAAGAAGAGCATGGCCTTCTTATCCCCAGACTGGTACACTGGGTGCTTGGGCATTGAAATCTAATCATCCGCAGAGGTAAACGCGGTGGGGGTCAGGAAAGTGGGGAAGATGTAGTGTTCACCTTTTTTTAAATTTTTTGTGAAATGGTGAACTTGCACTTTAGGTTTGGTTGCGTTTCCCCACGCTGTGAGTTTCTAATCGTATCCTGGCTGCACAGAATTGAATTTCCTATAAAATGAGCTAAACTTATCACACCTAAAGGCAGAAACCCCCCAGTGAGAATGCCCCCATTGAAAAATGATTCCATGGATTTATACAGTACAGTATATGTTCAGAAATGTCCTCTAAATGCATACAAACACAGGTTTGACAGTGAAAGTGTGAATGAGGCCTCAGACTTCCATGTGGAATGTATCCATTGATAGCTCTGAATCTTTCGATTCTGCTATGTCTGCTATTAGTCCTCTTTTCTTTGCTTGTCTAGTTTATGCCCTGCCCCTACAATTTCCTTATCTTTCTTGACAAGTTCCAACAGTGGCACATACCAGGGGGAGGGTCTGATTATGTCCTTTCTTCTGTAGCTGTCAGACTCTGCACTACCCTTGTTCTCTGTACAGAAAGACTTCCATATTGTACCATCAGGCTCAGCAATTCTTTATTATACCGTATAAAGACCCCACGCCACCTTTTTTTTTCCCTAGCATTGGCTGGACTTTTCTACAGAATTCACATTTTAGCGGATGTGTTTGGACATGTTGGCCCAGATACTTGGCATTTGTGGTTGTGTTTTCATTTTTACTTTTTTGTGTCTTGATCAGTTCTGTGATCTGTGTTCCAGATAAGCTTCCACATACCATGACAGCAACATTTTCAGAGTGAATAGGCTAATTTTCTGGAGGAATGAGGTGGATGTTACAGGGTTAAAACTATTTAAAGCAAGCTAAACCTTAAGGGCTCAGTCATATGTGCCGCAGCCCTTTCAAATGCAATCTGCGGTGGATCACTTTTCAAAGAGCATTTGGCAGGCCTGTTTTCACCCTAAATAGGCTAAACCACTGTGACACAGCCATGTGCAGTGCAAGCAGTTACAATGTAGCCCCATTCACATGAATGGGTTATGTTCAGGGGTGGTACTGGCCACTGAGCGTGACAGGTGGTTTGATTTTTGGCTGAGAAACAAAGCATTGGGGCTGCAGAATGTGTACAGCCTTGAGTGGTTGCATGTCCCTGATTATGTGGGTGGTAAAACTGTGACTCAACTGCTGGCTTTTACTGTCACAAACCACTTTTTTGGGGGATGTTCTGCATGCTCATTTACATGCAATTGTAGTGCATTTGTGATGTCTTTGCAATGCCTTTTTTAGGCATTATTTATTTGTTCTTTTGATTCACTGAATTGCATTCACATGCAAAAAAAATGCAGCCTGCTGTACTTGTTTTAACCATTTCCCACCTGCCCCCGGCATCCCTTTAACCACTTGCCTACTGGGCACTTTAACCCCCCTTCCTGCCCAGGCCAAATTTCAGTTTTCAGTGCTGTCGCACTTTGATAATTGTACAGTCATGCAACACTGTACCCATATGAAATTATCATTTTTTTTTCTTTCTTTTGGTGGTATTTAATCATCACTGGGTTTTTTTATTTTATGCACTATAATCAAAGACAGAAAATTTTGAAAAAAAAAAAGTTTTTCTCTATTATAAAATTTTGCGAACAGGTAATTTTTCTCCTTCACTGATGTGCATTGATGAGGCGGCACTGATAGTCTGCACTGGTGGGCACTGATGAGGAAGCACTGATGAAACTGCACTGGTGAGCAGTACCATTGAGCACTGGTGGGCAGCACTGTTGGGCACCGATGGACACTTTTGGGGCTGTACTGATGATCAGGGCACTGATAACACTGTTCAACAGGTAAAAAGTTTTGGGCATAAAATTAGCTAATCTTACATAATTTTGGGGTGCTGAAAACGAAAATGACCCTAAAAAATGTTGATTGGCTCTAGTTTCCATGATATATTCACCCATCTAATGACGTAAGCCATTCAAAATTATGATGCAACTTCAGCTGCATATTGCGCAATTGATACTGGTGACCAATAGAAAATTGCATGTATACTGAGATGATGCAATATTAGCCTTTAATTGCATCACTTCACTGCATAAAGCCGCAGTATCTGTAGCTGATTGTAGTTCGACAGCGTCTTTACATTTCGTTTTATGCTTATATAGGCTACTCAGTAATGCCTCGAACTTGTGTGAATAAAGCAGATAATTTCTGCTATATCTGCGGTGAAATAACTTTTATCTCACAAAAAAGGAGGATAACAGGAATGATTAAGAAAGCCTACAACTTGT